AGCCACTGAGGAGATCGTGAAAAGCTGTTGAGAATTGTCTGTGAGGCGGTAGCCAGTCGACCAGAGAATGAGTATGGACGCACAGTAATATCCAGTTTTGAAGCCGTTACCAAGCAACGGCTACTAAAAATATAGAGAACTTAATGTGTACTGCAGTTACAGAGATTGTTTGAGTGTGCAGCAAGAAGAAGAAAACAAAGTGAAATAACTGGGTATGCATCTTGATAGAAGGCTGAATCGGAAAAAGCACATCAAAGCCAATAGAAACCAACTCAGCCTAATAGTAATAAAAAAGAAAGAAAGAAAGAAAGAAAAAGAAATGCATTGACTACTCGGAAGAAGATCAACACTGTCAAAAGAAAGCAAGCTATTACTACAGGAAGCAGCGTTCAAACCCATATGGGTTTACTGCATTCAAATATGTACAGAGTTAGATTACCGATACCCAGCAGTAAGGACGTGTGTGAGCACCGCTCTGTAGATCTGTAGAACCGTTTACAAGTGGAAGAGGGACGTAAGTTGTGCTTCAACCAAGAGACAGTCAAATATGTGAGACTGGCTATTGTGACATCAAACTCTACACCACTAACATTTAAAGGCAATAATTAACAAGGGTCAAAACAGACCGGAAAAATGTTTCCTATGGGAAACAGACCAAGATTTACTAACTGCATGCAGGCAGCTGCACTGCCAGCAAACTACACAGAATACCAACCCATAATAAACACACAAATTCCTTATGCAACTCAGTCATTATCAATCCCCAATATGATACCAGCAAGAAATGGGCAATTTCAACCAAATCAAGAACAATACCATACATATATGCAAATACAAAACACCCAGCAAATGCAGAAATTCCAACAGTTTCCACAACAATTACAGCAACAAGTGCATAACCAAGCCATGCACAGTTCACAGCACTTTAGAGAGCCATCAACAAGCGAAGAGGAAATTGACAGCCCCCACAGGGATAAATAGGCAAATAGTAAAAAGTATCAAAAGAAGAAAAACATTCTCAAACCTAAATCAAGCACGAGATAGCCTCAATCTTAGTAACAGATATAGCAGTTTACCACAAGTCGAAGACATGGACACAACTAAGGCCAAAACGGAAGAACACCCCCAAAAACCGCCTCCCATATTTGTGTATGGAGTCGCTAATCTCCCAGAAATGCTTATAAACTTTCACGACGTAGTGGAACTGGAACAGTACACCACTAGAAGCATGGCAAAGGGCACTGTAAAGCTCAACTGTAGCGCCTACAGGAAATTGGTAAGATTCACAAAAGAAAACATCATCATCCACCACACCTACCAGCCAAAAGACGAAAGAGCATACAGAGTCGTCATAAGATATCTACATTACTCAACGGACACTACAACAATTAAAGAGGAACTAAACACTCTAGGACATAAGGTCAGGAACATTATCAATGCTAAGCATAGGCAAACCAAGGAACCTCTCAACCTGTTTTTTGTTGACCTGGAACCAGCTGATAACAATAAAGAAATCTATAGAATTAAACATATACAAAATAGTATAGTCCAAATTGAGCCTCCAAGGAAAAAATAAACATGGCATCCAATGTACGAGATGCCAACAATATGGCAATACAAAATCCTATTGCAACAGACCTTTTTTTATGCGTGAAATGTGCAGGGCCACATGATACAGCCAGCTGTAAAAAGAGCCCTGACACTCCGGCAACGTGTGCCTTATGTGGTGGACTACACCCAGCAAACTTTAGAAGCTGTGAAAACTACCAGCGGCTAAACAGAAGTAGCTGTAACAATATCAACAATCGCACCCATCAATCACCCATGATAAATACCAATCATGCCCCCCTCCAGTCAACCACAAACCCACCAAGTCCTCGGACTAGCTATGCCAAAATAGTAAAAAACAACGTGGGTTACGCAACAAATAACAAAAACAGCAACAACAATGAAGACATCAGTAGAATTGAAGAAAGCAGTCTTCTGGGATTTGGCACCGTGCATATGTATACACGGTGCCAAATCCCAGAAGACTGCTTTCTTCATAGTCACCGCCATGAAAGCCTCAAATCTTACATCAGTGAAACCCATTTTACCGACAAGTCATTCATTAAAATTCCTGGTTACCAATTATATAACACCAATCATCCTGACAACACAGCCCATGCTGGATCTGCAATATTAATAAAAAATACGATTGACCACTATCAACTGAACGGATATGCAAAGGAATATCTCCAGGCAACATCTGTCAGAGTCATAACAGTGACTTATGATATAACAGTATCTGCAGTATACTGTCCTCCCCACCATAATTCAAGAAAGAACATTTTAATGAATTTTTCCACAATCTGGGGCCCAAATTCGTAGCAGGAGGAGACTATAACTGCAAGCAGACCCTATGGGGATCGTGCCTCACCACTACCAAAGGCAGAGAACTTGCAAAAGTCCTACAAGAAAATAATTACTCCTTCCTGTCAGCAGGTTCTCCCACTTACTGGCCAACTGACCCGAGGAAAATACCAGACCTACTTGATTTCTTTGTCTCTGGAGGCATATCCAAATCATATATGGAGATACACTCAAATTATTACCTATCATCAGATCATACTCCAATAATTGGAACAATCAGTACTACAGTACTAAACATTAAAAAAGCATCTTGATTACATAGCAAAAAAAACCGATTAGCAAGTATACAGAAACATAATAGATGAAAAGATACACCTGAACATNAAAGCACAAAATGCCTCCCTCCATGATTACGTCACAAGTCTCAACAGGTACGACAGTTCTATATGGCAACCACTTAAACCAGCTTCAAAGCATTTGACAGCCAACCCCCCAATTAGAAAGCAAACTCCCACTCCAGGACCGTGGGCAAGAAGCGATAAAGAGAAGGCTGCTTTGTTCGCTGAGCACTTAGCTGAAGTTTTTACACCCAATGACAACATAAACAACCAGGAAATAACAGATTTCCTAGACCAGACCCAAGAAATGGACGAGCCAGAAGCAGTACTAACATCGAAGGAAATCAAGAAAGAAATCTCCTATCCAAACAACAAAAAACTCCTGGTCCTGATCAAATTAGTGCGAAAATGCTGAAAGAACTCCCAAAGAAGGGATTAGTCATGCTAGCCTACATATTCAACGCTGTACTGAGACTCCACTCTTGGCCCCAGCATCTCAAAGTTGCAGAAATAATCCTAGTGTTGAAGCCTGGTAAAAACCCAAATCACGTTACTTCATACAGGCCCATTAGCCTCCTTTCCACTGTATCCAAGCTCCCTGAAAAACTAATACCCACAGAATAAGACCTTCCTTAGATGAAATCCCACACCACCAATTTGGCTTTCGGCACACTCACTCAACAATTCAACAATGCCACAGAATAGTCCACACAATCAACAAATCATTTGAGGACAAAAAATTCTGTCCTTCAGTGTTCCTGGACATAAGCCAGGCATTTGACAAAGTCTGGCATGATGTTCTCCTATATCAAATAAAGCACACACTCCCGACATATTTCACGCTGATCAGGTCCTACCTAAATGGACGTCAGTTCAGAACTAAAGTCAACGGAGAAACGTGAAATCTCTTTCCAATAAAGTCCGGCGTACCTCAGGGTAGTGTATTGGGCCCAGTACTCTATTTACTATATACATCAGACATACTGATGACAGCTGATACAATAACTGGCACTTTCGCAGATGACACAGTAATATTATCCAGCCATGAACACCCAGAAACTGTGTCAGTGCACCTGCAACACAACCTACATCTCCTAGAACAGTGGACCAAAAAATGGAATATTAAAATAAATGAAACAAAATCTATGCAAATCACTTTTACTTTAAGAAAGGGACTGTGTCCTCTAGTGTCCATCAACAATGAAATCATACCGGAATCACCATCAGTGTGCTATCTGGGAATACACTTAGATAAAGCACTCAATTGGAAAGAACACATAGTCAAAAAGAGGAAACATAGTGATGTGAAAGTTAAAGAGTTATACTGACTACTAGGAAGAAAATTCCAACTGAACTTGGGAAACAAAATCCTGATATACAGTGCTGTGATAAAGCCCATATGGACCTATGGGACTGAGCTATGGGGCTGTGCCAGTAAGTCGAGTATCATCATCATCCAAAGATCTCAGTCAAAAATACTTCCAGCACTGATAGATGCACCACGGTATGTATCCACCGACACCCTTCACCATGACCTAGGCATCTCAACCATCTCTGATGTAATCCAAGAGCGCAGCAGCAAACACTATGATCGACTAGAGACGCACATCAATCCATTGATGAAGCTGCTACTGGAAGAACCCAAAAATAGACCCCTGAAAAGACGTCTTCCAATTGACCTCAAGTGAATAACGGAGGCTCCTTCGGTGGAAGGACCCTCATCCTGCCATAGGCGGGCTCAGTAGCCCAATGTCACCACAATAGCTTATAAAATATGGTACTTCTGATTGCTATTTAAGTAACAATAAAAAAAAATATGTAGAACAGCCTCAGATTCCAGCATCGAAATCCTCCAGCGTCTCCAGTCAAAGGCTCTCAGGTTTATACGGAATAAGCCTTGGAATATAAACAAGTCCAAGATTCATAAAGATCTCTATATGAACACACTGACACGTGGAATGACGGACACTTAAGCAGATTAGAGAAATCACTCAAATACACTAGCAGTGATATCTACTGGACTACAGTGAAACTGCACATAGAATTGTACACAGTATGAAATCTACCGGGCAGATTTCAGTAAAGTAACTAATATGAGTAAAAAAAACGATAAATAAATTAAAAGTAAAAGTGTACAAGATTTACGCCACTGGACATAACTCACTCACGCGTCTATGCATAGAGCATACACGAATATACAGTGTACATAAAGTCCGGGAACACTTTACATTATTTACTGCGCAAAAACTTGAAATTATACAGACATCATATACGTGTCATTTTGAAGAGAAACTTAAAGTCTGTTTTTACCTCATAAATTTTCGATGTGGGAACCATGAGTGACTTGGCCTCGGAGAAGGGCCCGTTGAGTTTCCGACGAGACAAGGCGCAGAATCGCGCTGATATTCAATGAATTCCTGCGTTTTCGCGGTACCACAGATTCGACAGTTATGCTTGTTCACTGTCCCATTAATGTGAAATGTCGCTTCGTCGCTAAAAATTAAGCGATTCACAAATCCATCGTCATTCTCTGCCAATTGTTGCAACTGACAACAAAACTCAAAGCGCTCGTCTTTGCCGTCGTCATTTAGCTTATGCAGTAGCTGCAATTTGAATAGCTTGATAGTCAGCTTCTTGCGCAGAACTTTCCACACTGTGACTGGGAGCATTTGGAGTTCACGGGACGCTCGACGCACTTATTTCTTCAGACTCCTCGTGAATGCCTCTCTTACATGTTCCGCATCCTGTTCACTCACACCGAGACGTCTCCTTTTCTCTTCTAGACACAAGCAACCTGTAACAACGAATTTCTTGTGCCTGTGGTAAACTGCCTTCCTGGTTGGTGGACTTTTACCATACTTGGTCCTAAACTTTCGTTGCACATGTGTAGCACACTTGCTTTTGTCGAATTCTAACACACAGAAACATTACATTCCACTTAACGTCGCCATGTTTGCAACTACCACTAACTATCGGCAAATGACGGAATTACGCGCATTGGCGGAACATACAAACGTTCAGACTTTCTCTTCCAAATGCCAAGTACAGTATACGATATCTGTATCATTTGTAATTCTTGTGCAATAAATAATTTAAAGTGTTCCCGGACTTTATGTATTCCCTGTACATTTATTGCAGGTACTACAGACTATGGATAATAAATGTGAAGAAATACGGATTAGCATTACTAATATAATAAATTTTGCTTCAGTATCAATAACAGTTGATGGATCACAGCGGGCGCGCGGTCTAAGACATGAACCGTCTTCGTCCGCCCGAACATTTGGGTCCTGGGTTAGAATCCCAATCGAGGTATGGATGTCTGTGTTTATTCTGTTTGTCTTGTTCTGTGTGCAGGAAGAGACCTTGCTTCGGGCTGATCCCCCGTCCAAGGAATCCTACGGACTGTGTATAGGATTAAGAACTGAAAAAGCGGCTAAGGCAAAACAAAAGGCTATAGAGCCATAATAAACAAAAAAAAAATCCGTGGCCTGTAGTCTGCGAGCGAACTATACCGACCGAGCGACTGCCGCTTATCGGCGACATTAGTGCCAACTTAGCGGATAGAGGGTGTCGCATGGTTAGCGCAACGGAGCCCCACGGCAGTTAATCTCGGTTTTCTAGACCACATCTGAGCCATAATAACAGTTCAATTCATTCAATTCATGTTTATTTACGTGCAAACGTAACAGCAAAGAGGCCAATTACAAAGTTAGCACGAATAGAGAAATACACAAAAATAACTAAAAAACAAAAATACAAAAATTATAGTCTATATTAATTACATAGTTAGCATGAAAAGGATACAGAAGCAAACATACACAGACAAAGCCACAATGTGAGAATCTGAATTTCAAATAGAGCAGCATACAATAATAATAATAATAATAATAACGAAATTAATAAAAATAATTTATACATACATACATATAATACCCAAACACGCACACAATTTGCTGCGTATGTGTGACGTGTGTTATATTACTNGAAATGTAAAACAATTTTCGTTTGTTCAAACTCTTAAATCCCCGAAAGTTCTTCACCGATTGCTTTGAAATTTTGACACAACGTTGCATTCGAATACGCGCGTGTTTCTATATACCTATTATATAGATGTCACACCTGTGACAGGTAAAAACATGCTTCTTTTGAAAAACAGCGCCATCTGTTGGACGTAAAAGCAACACACGCTCTACTAAATATTTTACGATTCCATTTCAATGTTTCCGATTGCATTGTTAAATTGGATTTTCATAGATTTCTATTTATATTCATTTTGATTTAATTATTTCGTGTGACATTGCGTTGGAATTGAGCTGTGTCGTTTACCATAGCGTTCATTTCGTGAGTACAGTTTTTTTTCTTCTTTCATTGTTTTTCACTTCGTTTTCTTAACTGTTTTCCTTATTTTTCAGTGCAATCGGAGGTGGAATTGAGCTGTGTCGATTGATCTGCGTTTGAATTGAAATATTTCGTTAGTATTTTTATTTTTTTTTTGTTTCTTCTTTGTTTTCCAGTTCGTGTTCTTTCTTTTTTTAATGTTTTGCAATTTTATATGTTTTTGTTATAACTTTCTTTCTTCTTCTTCTTCAGTGCAATCGATCTCCTCTAGTTCATGCGAAATTTGATTAACAGAAACTGTTCCGATTGCAAATATGTCGAGATCTTTACCCACCGCGTTGGCAGCATAGGCGCACCGAGCAGAAGGACAGTGTTTATTAGAGGGACAAACACTAATCAATAGAAGTCCCTAAGATTGCTGGGAGAAACACGAAGGCTAACATTTTCCAACAGAGAAGCGCAGGATTTAAGACCACGAAAGACCTGAACAACAAAAAGTGCTCAAGGTGATGTCTCCGTTTATGTAGAGATTGTAGACTTAATTTCTCTAAAGCATCAGTATAATTATATGAAATATGAGGGAAAAAGCGGTAAAAACAGACGGACGCAAACTTCTGCTGGATGCGCTCAAGCTTATTGGCATCAGTCGAAGTGACGGGGTTTCAAACTACTGAGGCATATTCCAACTTGAACCTGACTAAAGTAACCTGACTCTCCATGGAGGAAAACCTGTAGGTAATGGAGCGAATAAGGCCTAAAAGCTCTATGATTTCAGAAAATATGTAATTAACATGTGTGTGAAAATGTAACTTTGAATCAAAGAAATCACTCAGGTCCTTAATACTGCTGGTGCGTGTAATGATAGCATGACAAAGCTGATACTCGTAGCTCAGAAAATTTGTTTTTCTGGTGTATGATACAACACGCGTTTTAGCAATATTAAGTTTCATGGAGTTAGCAGTGCACCAGTTACTTACGGAATTAATGTCAGATTGAAGTAAGAGGCAATCATGAGGAGAGTTAATAATGCGGAGAATTTTTAGATAATCGGAAAAAATTAGAAATTTACAGTAGTTAACGGAGTCGCATAGGTCATTTATGAATACGTTGAAAAGAAAAGGCCCCAGAACAGAGCCTTGCGGCACCCCGGACGTTACATGAAAAGGCAGGGAGAGAGTGCCAGAAATGCGAACACGAGATTGTCTGTTGGTTAAGTAACTGCGAAACCAGCTAAGCATCAGCGAATCCGAAGAAGCTTAATTTATGCATGAGGGACGAGGTCAAAACATTAGAAAGATCAAAATAGACGGCATCAGCTTGACGCTGACCGCGGACAAGAGGCGTCAAGAAGTCGAGAAACGTCACCAAATTGGTAACTGTAGATTTAGTTCTGGTAAAGCTATGTTGGTTGGAATTAAATTTAGCGAAATGAGAAACACGATCATGAATAATGAATTCAAACAATTTAGAGAAATTACTGATAATAATGATGACGATAATAATCTGTAATTATCTGTAATTGATGGATTAATTTTAATTATGCTGTAACACACCTTCAGACCAACCAACTTTACTTCATTTTTTAAGTTCCAGGACAGGATAAAATTTCGAATTGTTAGTCCTAACGTGATATTAAACATTCCCTGAATCGCTGAAAACATACGTGTAATGCAGAGCAATAAAATCTGACAACAAACTTGGGGCCTGTTTAAAATATTCCGGATTATCAGAAACAATGTGGATTTTCATTTTATTCCTTAGGTGAATTACACTCAATTAGCAACGAAATAACACTGAATAATGTGAAGAAAAATACGGTCTTTTGCGTTGTAATGTCGGGCAGATCGGAGAGGAGTAGACGTTTCGGAGGAACATAGTCTCCATGTTTAAGGTCGAAGAGTAGGAGAACTCATAAGATAGCCATCTTCTTAGGTAACTTTTGAAGAATATCAAATCCAACATTCAACTATGCTGCTAATGGCATGAAGATTGGTGAAACCTTGCTTTAACAATGCTTTATCAACTTCAGACTTCCGCTGAAAGAGAAACATGGCACTCCTCAAAGAAGACTGTCTGTGGGGTCGTCCGGAATTCGAACCAGAATACAAAACGGAACCGTTAACGCTTCAGTCAACTTTTGACTGGAAGAGACTGAATAAATGCACGAAATGAATGCTTAATGCGCTTAATTAAGCACTACACCATGAAGACGTATGGGGAAGTGGACGTACAGATCTACGTGTTCTTGACCTCGACACTAGTTAAACGCGAGTGGTCACCTTCACGCTTTACCCAAGGGCAAAAGGCCGCCGATACCTACTGGGTAGGTGGCTGGATGGGCATCACAACCGGTTCGGACGACGTGGGGAAACTACCGGCACTCGAAGTACGAACACCGGGAGTCTAGCCCACAGTCAGTCGCTACACCGACTGCGCTACAATTATAGGAGAGCGGCTAAAATTAGAAAATTACATCCAAGTGAAGCAATGTCCTCCACGAGCATTGCGTTTTTGTGCTCTGGAATGGAAAACAAAGAAGCGGCATAGTTTTCAGTTCATTCTTGTAGGCAGCACATACGTCAATGTAAGTCTGGGATTTCAGAAAGGCCTTTCTGATACACGTACGTCTCTTCAAGAGGGTGCGCTCTTTAGATTAGATAATGTAAATTTGCAGCGTGAACCGACAGATAGGCTTATTAACAGATTGAATGCAGTTCACACGAAACATGGAAAGAGGAAGATGTCTCAATAACGACAGTAGATATTCAATTCCAAGTCAGATTTACCCAGGAGTTGTCCAGTGATTGAGATTAGCGCTTTATAAGGGGCCCAACTGAATAGGTGTCTTCCTTTCTCACCTGAAGACGGAAACAGATCCAGTTTCCGAAACATCGTGTCCTCTATTACCTAGAACTTCGGACGATGGGGAAAAAAAAAGTAATTCTGTATGTCATCCACCATCGTCAGAACCCTTCAGAATCTACATGTCATAAAGTTCTCACGCAAAACAGACCAAAACAAAAGACTAGAGCGCTGAATTGTCGCTGTCTGAAGCTCAGCTCCAAGCGGCGCCCAGGTCAAGAGGTCTGTCTGTCCGACAAGCCTCATGTGAAAATGTGAACTGAGGAAACTCCTTCATTGATACCAAAATAAAATATTTCTATTTCGATACTTCCCAGTTCAGGATGGTCATTAGAGAAACGATCATCTGTCTCTATAGTTAATTTTGCTTGCAATTCTTAGTACTGCTCCTAAAATCCTTTCGTTCGTTCATTCCCGCTGAATACGTGCTCCGTAATTAAAACATATACATACCTGTGCAACGTCAACATAACCTGTACAAATTATTGGTTATTATAAATAATAACACAGCTGTATATTTATATCTTGTTAGTCTCCTTCAGGCAATAATACATTTGAGGGCAGCCGTCAAATGGCGCCTCCACCGGTGTTCCCTTGAACTCGTTACAACTGACTGCTACTAGAGTTCGTGTTGCAAATAAATTTATGCTTATGTGTACTTGCATGTATTTCTTATATATAAAATCATTAGAAGTTACTATAAAATTAACACATTATATCATATTACAAACCTCCATA